AATATATAAATTATATTTTAAATTTATTGTAGATAATTTATATTATATTAAAAAATTATTTTTATTTATTAATAATTTATTTTAAAAATATTGAAATTAATTTATAAATAATAATGATAAATAGAAATCAAATTAGATAAAAAAAATTTAAAAAGTGTTACTAAAAATACTCTTGTACTATATAATAATTTATATTTCATATATAGAGGTCAATTATTAAATTTACTATAAAAAAATTGACATATGGTGACACATATCCTATAATGACACAATACATGTCATTAAAAATTACTTTTATCTATACAATAAATATAATATATATTAGTATATTGTTAAAAAATGTAGATATAAGTTATAGTGACACAAAATATGTTTTTAAATCTCATTCAAAATCAATATTAAAATTGTATGTAACTATATGTCAAATAGATATATACCTACATATATTGACCTTTTTGTATGTCATTTATAGGAATAATATTTAGTAATTTATAGGAATCCTGTGCATATTTATTTTTTAATAAAAATATAATTTGTAATTTTTTATTAGTGAAATTTATATAATTATATTATTTTTTATCTATTAAAATCAACTAAATTTAAATATAAAATTATGTGTATATTATTCCAACTTCCACTAATATTATTTGGAATAAAATAATGTAGTGAGAACTGCATGAACTGCTGACATGGATTAATGTTTTAAAAATAATTTCAATTAAAATTTATAAAAGAAAATATAAAATTGTATAATGATAATAAAGAGAAAAGGTTCGGAACTTATTGAGGAAACTTAAATTGGTGGAAATTTTTACGGAAATAATATTTTTTTTTTAAAAAATTACAAAAATGACACCTGTGCAAGTTTATTTAAAGGAGTAGCACCATTTACTGTTCATGCTCGGAATTTGGTTTTCCGGGAACCGAATTCTGAGCTTCAAAAATTTTTTTTTTCTTCTCAAAATTCGATTTCCGGGGAACCGAATTCCGAGTTATTTTATTTTTTTTTCTTTTTTTCGTGTTTCTGGCCCATTTTGGGCAACTGTTGGAAGTGGAACGGCCCGTTCCGGAAGCAGAACGGGTCGTTCTGATAAAAGAAACAAAGTCTTCTTTTTGAAACTAAAACGGGCCAAGAACGACCCGTTCCAGAATAGAAATTTAAACAATTTTTTGAACCTGGAACGGCCTTGGAACGGCCCATTCCAAAAGACGTTTTTAGGAATCAAAACGTGTTTTGGAACGGGCCGTTCTGGTTTTGGAACGGCCCGTTCTCGGCAAACAGTGAAAGAAGTATTTTTTTTTTACAAATTCTATTCATAATAATTATCTACTATATTTCACGAATCCTGATTAATTGATATTATTATAATTTTTATGTTAACAATACACTAAAAATTTAAATTCTTGGTATTTGAATTACTTTGATTTCAATTTTTATTATTTTTAAAATATTTAATAATTTAAAAAATTAATATTAAATAATATTTAAAAATTTTAAAAATACTTTTGAATATTCAATAATAAAAAACATGAAGAGATAAGATAAAATATATAAGCAAAATAAGAAAAAAAATATGAGAATAACTTTATTATCTTTTTTTTACAAATTTTATTCATAATAATTATCTAGTATATTTCACGAATCCTGATTAATTGATATTATTATAATTTTTATGTTAATAATACACTAAAAATTTAAATTCTTGGTATTTGAATTACTTTGATTTCAATTTCTATCATTTTTAAAATATTTAATAATTTAAAAAATTAATATTAAATAATATTTAATAATTTTAAAAATATTTTTGAATATTCAATAATAAAAAACATGAAGAGATAAGATAAAATATATAAGCAAAATAAGAAGAAGAAAAATATGAGAATAACTATTATCTTTTTTTTTTTTGTAAAAAAAACATGAATAGTTGATGGATAAAATGTTTATTAGATAAGAGTATAATTGAGTAAAAAGATATTAATTAGACTGTAAAATTCTAATGATATTTCTTTATAAATAAAAGAATGTTAAAATGGCCAAAAGTTTAAGATGAGTGAAATAATATTTAATATTAATGCTTAGAAGTTAAGAAACATTTAATATCAGTTATAAATAATATATTTAGACAACCACTTAAGATAATATCTTACGCTTAAAACGTACAATTATCCCTAAACTATAGGGAATAGATTCTCTCCAACAATATAATTATCGGATAAAATTTTAATTATTCAATCAATTTTATTAAAATATTATATTTTGTTATAAATTAAATTTAAAAAATTAAGGGTCAAATTATCACACTTCACCGTCCAAGTGTTCTCTCTGGTAAGGAACTTTCTCGTTCGTCAAGCATAATTTAAAATAATCTCAATTAATATTTATATTATACTTTGTGACTTGAAATTATTGAGATTTGAAATTTATAAAATATTAATTACTTTGGAATAAAAATTAACATGAAAAGGAAGAAATAAGAGTAATTATAGGATTAAATTGTAGCATTTTTACTGTTTGCCCAGAACGGGCCGTTCCAAAACCAGAACGGCCCGTTCCAAATCACGTTCTACTTCCTGAAAACGTCTTCCGGAACGGGCCGCTCCAAGGCCGTTCCAGATTCAAAAAGATGTTAAAATTTCTATCCTGGAACGGGCCGTTCTTGGCCCGTTTTAATTTCAAAAAAAAGACTGTGTCTTTTATCAGAACGGCCCGTTCTGCTTCCGAAACGGGTCGTTCCACTTCCGACAGTTGCCCAAAATGGGCCAGAAACACGAAAAAAAGAAAAAAAAATTAAAATAACTCAGAATTCGGTTCCCCGGGAATCGAATTCTGAGAAAAAAAAAAAATTGAAGCTCAGAATTCGGTTCCCGGGAAACCGAATTCCGAACATGAACAGTAAATGGTGCTACTCCTCTAAATAAACTTGCACAAGTGTCATTTTTGTAATTTTTCTTTTAAAAAATATTATTTCTGTAAAAATTTCTAAATTGGTGATATGAAGTCATAGAAAGCGGACCCCATTGGGAAGTTTCACCACAACATCAGATCATACTTTTCCTCTGGTCAATGAAAATGAAACTATCATAGCACCTTCCTATTCGAATCAACTTCGGCGAAGCAGAGTCCATTGTTACTTAGTATGAAATCTCTCTTTTTTTGTTTTGTATTCCAACTTGCAAGTAAAGGGAAATTCGAGGAAGCTGTGCTAGGTGTAATTTTGGTTTTTATATTCACGAATCCATGTGAGTAGCAACTCACCATGAAAAAGTGTAGAAAGTCATGAGAATTCAATGGTTAAACCCTTATTTATTGTCGCGCACAACCCTCAAGAAACACCAACAAGCAAGAGAAAAAACTTTCGCTACAAAGACTTGACATTTAATCCAAACAAAGGAATCGTTTAAGGTAATATTCTCAGCTTCGATATTATATTCACAATTTCACCATTTTATTGTCCTGTTTCGTTTCTGGACTCTTGTTCACTTAAACTTCGTGGTTTTTGGTTATTTAGATGACTAGAACTGTGAAGCGCGATGATGATGTTATGATCGATATTAAGGCGATGCTGGATGGGGCAGAGGTACCCGTAACCAATGAGTGTTGCATCTACAAAGTACCCTTTCATATTCGGAGACTCAAAGCAGATGCGTACACCCCAAATGTTGTTTCTATAGGCCCTTTTCACCACAATAGCCATCCTCGCCTCCTTAACATGGAAAGACACAAACTCGGTTATTGTAAGGCCTTTCTTCAACGAACCAACACAACTTGGCATAGTTGGATCTGCTACATAAAAGAAGAGGTGGAGCCCCATTTTCATCGTTTTTATTTAGACACCCTTGATGAGTTCAGCAAAGAGGAACTGATAAAGATCATCTTTGTTGACTCTGGTTTTATACTTGAGCTCTTTTGTAGATACCATAGTAAAAATTGGTCAAAGGATGACGTGTGTCTTTCAAAATCTTGGTTGGAATCTATCATAAGATTAGATTTGTTGTTACTTGAGAACCAACTTCCTTTTTCTCTTCTTGAGTCTCTCTTTAATAAGTTTTTCACCAACAGATCTAATCATAACATCCCTTCATTTATTGTGCTTACGTTTGACTATTTTGATTATTTTAATAAATCCAACTTAAGTTATGATAATACTGGCATAGAGCACTTTACAGATCTCATAAGAACTTTTCACTTGCAACATCCTCCTCAAAAACGACCATCTAGGACTAATGAAGAGATAGTGACACACCTTCCTAGTGCTACTGAGTTGTCAGAAGCAGGAGTGAGGATTAAAGTAAATAAGGAAAGCGAGTGCTTGCTGAACTGGACATTTTCAGGACGGGTTCTCAGAATTCCGGAATTGGTAGTGGAAGATTGGACTGAAATTTTGTTCAGGAATATGGTGGCTTTCGAGCAGTGTCACTATCCTGATAAATCTTATATTACAGACTATGTTGCTGTTATGGACTTCCTTATAAACACAAGCAGAGATGTGGATATACTAGTTCGGAAGGGAGTATTGGTTAACTGGCTAGGAGATGCTGATTCTGTGGCTGACCTCTTTAATGGTCTCATGAAAAATATTGTGCAGACAAATGACAGTTCTGAATACTTTCGTATCTGCAAAGAGTTGAGTGCTTTTCAGAGAAATCCTTGGCATAATTTGAAGTCCACTCTGAGACGTGATTATTGTAAAAGTCCTTGGCAAACTGCTGCTACCATAGCTGGTATTCTTCTCCTTATTCTCTCGCTGATTCAATCAGTTTGTTCTGTCTTGCAAGTAATACAGCAATATAATGCCCCCTCAAAGACCTGGTAAATACTTATGTACCGTGGGTGTGCTTTCTTTTTCAGCATATGATTAGTGTTTGTAAATTTTGGACGTTGAAATATCATCATTCTTGTTCTTAATTCTGTCATGTGAATTTGTTTGTACAAATATTTTAACTATAATTTTTTTCTGATAAATTATTCCAAGAATAGCCTTTTATTTACATGTATATAAATATATATCAACGGAAAGTTGAGAAATTATCTAGGTGGTCCTAAACTAATTCTTATATAACATGTAATTAAGTGTAATCAATTTGTTCTGTAAGCTGTGAAACTTAAATGCATGTAACATAATAACTAACTGAAACTTGAACACTTACCGTTCTTAATACCAATCACTTAGAAGAGGTGAGAGAGAGATTAGACGAGGAGAGAGTAGGAAACTTAGAGAGATGTTGAAATTAAGATCTAAGAAAATGACCAATATCGTAATAATTTTTTTTTTTTGGATGAATCATGTTAAATTTATAAGATTTTTCTTTATTTAAATCTTGAATAAATTTTAAGTAGGACATTTGTTACTGTTATAATTTTACTTCATATATTTTATTTTTAATTAATCAATATAATTTAAACAAATAAAATTGTTAATAAATAGGATTTGTTAAGAATTTTAAATTGCTTACAAGCTTATACATAACATCCTTTTTTTACTATAAATTTTATAATAATTTTAATGACAATTTATCGTTTTTAATTTATTTGTAAGATCCAATATAAGAGAAGTGATGAGATGTTGGCGGATGGTAAAAGTGAAAGATGCGTAGCTACACTACAGAAATTGCGTATATATGTATGTACCGGTGATTATTGTGATGATTCCATGTAATGCATCAAGAAATTAACGCTTCACGCAAGACAAAGAACAAAGAAAGAAATCGGATAATATATCCCATAATTCCCTGCCCGGGGATGCTCATGATTCTGTGCCTAAAATCTTCAATCATCACTACTTTCGTATCTGCCAAGCCTTGACTCTTTTTATAGAAATCCTTAGATAAATTTGAACCCTACTCTGCCGCTACCATTGCTGGAATTCTACTCCTTTCTTTCCTCCAATCACTTTGTTACGTAAGACAAAAATATATCATAATATTTTTATAAAATTTACAACCTTATATTCAATGGATGAAATATTAAAAATAAACTGAAAAATTAGAGTTTAAAGTATATTAAAATTAAGAATGTAAAAAATAAGATTTGAAAAATAATAAAGATGGGTTAGTGACTATCTAATTCGTTGAAGAGAAAAAAGTTTATAAAAGAGGAATTAAAAAAAAATAGAGTAAAAAAAAGGAGTGGAGGAAGAAGAAGTAAAGAAAAAAGGTAGTTTTTGAAAATAAAAATTGAGAGAGGAAGACTTATCAAGCAATTAAAAAAAATTCCTTATCGATTTGTGATGATAATAGCGTAATCAAGAAGGACTTCTGGACACCCACATGCTATTCAATACACTGTCAGATGGAGAAAAAGATAGATAATATAAATATGATAATTGATATGATGTGAATGTAATAGAAAGAGATATAGGAAAAAATATATATAATTAATATATTAAAAAAATATGAGATTTCTATAAATCATTACCTTCACTTAATTTTGGTTCCAAGCGGTAAACATAAATATTGGGAACTCACTTTTTTGTGGTATTTGGTCATTGTGCTTTTTTCTATACCGAGCCAGCTTTTGAGATTTCTATGTTTTAATATGTATAGCAGCACCAACGCAAGCTCTTTTCTAAAAACAAAAATAAACTTGAAGTTATTATATTATATTTTTCACTTTGTAAGGAAAATATAATTTTTAGACAGAATTATAGTGTAATTTAACAGTAAGAGAGAAATAAAATAAATACTGAGTGTTGTTTAAAAACATTATTCTTCGGAAGTTTCACCTACCACAACACTATCATACTATTTTCTTCTTATTGACGTGAAACCTGTGTGGAATTATATATATAACATGTCCTTATCCAATCATTCATTTTTGAACGATGCAGGCATAAAACTAGGTAAGTGATATGATTGGACAAATATATTTATTTTCATCTTCATTTGCATTAAAAATAAAAATAATAAAAAAATTCTTGTTTGCAGCTTGCAAGTGCAGGGAAATGCAAAAACAGTTGTGGTGGGTGTAATTTCGGTTTCTATATATATATATTAACAAATCCATGTAAGCAGCAACTCATGATGAAAAAATGTTGAAACTTACACAAGTATTGAGTATAACATCTCATGCAAATTCATTCGTTAAAGAAGCTCTCAAACTAATTGTGACAGCGCGCCACCAAGCAAAAGAAAGAACTTAATTTGGCTACAAAGACTTGAAATTTAATCGAAACAAAGGAACCGGTTAGACTTCTTGTTACTTGAGAATAGCTTCCTTTTTCTCTTCGATGAGTTATTCAACTTCAAATCTTATTATAACATCCCTTCATTTTAACTATTTCAACATATTTGACTTGAGTTTTGACAATATTAGCGTAAGACACTTGATAGATCTCATAAGAACTTTTCACTTACAACATCCTAAACAAAGGCAACCACTTAGGACTGATGCAAATGACATAGTGAAACACCTTTCTACTGCTATGGAAGCAGGAGTGAGGATTAAGGTAAACAGTAAAAGTAAGTGGTTACTAGACTTCACATTTTTAGGAGAGGTTCTCCGGAATCCAGAGTTGATACTGGAAGATTGAACTGAAATTTTGTTTCAGAATATAGTGGCTCTGGAGCAGTGTCACCATCCTCATGAATCCTAAAGTAAGTGGTTACTACACTAGAGACGTGGATATACTAGTTCTGCTGTTAACCTGTTTAAAGCTCTTTGCAAAAATATTGTGCAAACAAATGACAGTTCTAAATACATTCGCATCAACAGAGACTTGAATGCTTTTTATAATAATCCTTGGCATAATTCGAAGTCCACTCTGAAGCGTGATTATTGTAAAACTCCTTGGTAAACTGCAGTTTCATTTGCTGGAATTAGTCTCCTTATTCTGTCTTTTGTTCAATCGGTTTCTTCTGTCTTGCAAGTAATACAGCAATATGAAGCCTCCCCTCCCCCAACGCACTAGTCTCAACTTATTCCAAGTATTTTCAAGTTCTACATTCCTTTTGTCTCAAAATGATTCAATGCTTTCCTTATTTCGTGTGTTGTAACAGATTAATCTTGTCTTCCTTTCCAAAATCACTCATCACCACGAAAAGATGGGTGTGCATGAAATTCAGTGCTGCTCTTCATGTCCATGGCTTATCCCAACCCAACTCCAGAGTTGTGGGATGAAGATTTAATTTCATTCTTCTCTCTTTTCATTTTTTTATTTTTTCTCCCTCGCTTCATTATTGCTCAATTGATAGAAACTCAGTTGTCCTGTCGTTTTTTAGGTTGTTTTTTCGAGCCAAATACGTACTTATGCCACCGTGTTTTTCTTTTTTATCAGTTTTAGTTTTTTATATCAATGATTTGATATGATTAGTGTTTGTAAATTTTGTGCATTTAAATATCATTATTCTTGTTCTTAATTCTGCCATGTGAATTTGTTTTTACAAATATTCTCTAAAAAATTATTTTAATAGCTTTTTTCTCTAAATTATAAAGTATATACCAATATCAATGTAAAATAATTATTATAAGAATAGCTTTCCAGCAGATTGCAATTTTACTAGTGTTACCAAAATATAATCCCATTGCTGAAACTATAAATGCATGACCAGAGTACGTTTTAGTTGGTGAATCCTAGAAGTGATGAGATGTTGGTGGGTGTTAAAAGTGAGAGAGCGCCAAAGAAACAGCATATCTTTATGTGCTAGTAATTGTTGTTGTACCTGCACTCTCTCCTTCTTGGTCATACCTTCATTCCTCATTATTTTTCAATCCGGTTTTCTAACCACGTTGAGGAATATACACATACAAAAGGCACATTCACATTCAAATAAGTTACTCTCTCCATAAATTAAATATAAAAAATGAATTGTGACATTACTTTAAGATATAATATTATTTATAATGACCATGATGGATCTAGATTCTTTTAGACTACACCATAAAGTTATCAATTAGATAATCAATAAATTATAGGGTTTTGTAGCTCTTTCGACACTATCAACTGTCAAAGGAGTCGAAAGAGGTTGTTTAATTATAATGATCCAATGAAGTGTTGTAATTTGAAAGGTATATTGACTGATTTCAGCAGGTTCATGTAACATCTTACTCGGGTCCTTGGATCACCAATAGTGTCAAAAGGGGTCAAGAGTTTGCTCATATGAGACTTTCAATTACACATAGCACCTAAGGGATCAAGGATTTGCTCATGTAATCCTTTCGGTTGTCGAGAGGAAGAGATCAAAGATTTGTTTATGTGAACCCTTTAGTTATTAAAAGTGTCAAAGGGATCAATGTGTTCATGTGAACTCTTCGGTCACCGAAAGTGCCCAAGAGATCTTAGACCTGTCTGTTTCTAGCGGTGAATGGCTTATCCGGTATAATTGTGATGATTCCATTTCATGCATCAAGAAATTAAAGAATCACGCAAGACAAAAGAACAAAGAATGGAATCGGATAATATGTATTCTTATTCTCTCTCTGATTCAAAAAGTTTGTTTTGTCTTCCAAGTTATACAACAATACAACAATTGGTAATATGTTCAATTTCTACTGCTTTCCTTTTGTCTGAAATTGTTTCGATATGATTTCCTTATTTCAGGTGTTGTAATATGTAATAGATGAATTTATTCCTTCTCAGAATTACTCCATCACGATTGAATGATTGGTATATGCATGAAGCTCAGTGCTGCTCTTGAAGTCCATGATGCAGAATATAATCCCAATCCTGCTCCAGAGTTGTGAGATGAATATATAATACATGCGCCAATAGTCCCTTTCCAGTGTTGTATATTTCTATGGATAATGTTTCTATGTCATTGAAATTGACAGTATAACATAAAGACTCTCATGAGTCCCAAAAATAAGTTTTTCAACCTCGTTAGTCGTTACATCAATACATTAGGAAAACGCCAGAGTGTGAAACCATTGGAACATTATTTATTACAATATGTTTTACCAAGTAAGCAAGTTAAATTTTAAATTATGTTTCTTTATTTAAATAAGTTTAATTCAAATTTTAAAAGTATAATTAAAATGATAATTGGTAAATAGTTCATGTATATGTGTATTAGAAGTAATTTATTGAAAGAAAAAAAAATGTAGTTAAAAGAGAAGACATTATTAAAAGTAATGAGTGAAGTTATCGAAGAAGATTAATTATCGCTAAAATTAAAAGATAATTTGTACACATACAATATTTCTTAAATTTGTTTCATATTGAATACAATTCAACACACAGTACTTCTTAAATTTGTTTCATAAGATTCAATTATATGAAAATTCTTAAATACAATTGAAATTCAAATTAAATATGTTTTCAAAAAATTTAATTTCATATTATTTTTATTTATTCATGTGATATATTTTTTATACAATTTTTATTATATAGTTGTTTAAGATTCAATCATTAATTACATTTCATAATTTTCATATAAGTAAATATAATATAGTATTATAAGTTTCACGTTTTAAATTAATTAAAAATTTATTCAAAACTATGATAAAGAATCAAAATAAACATCATAATAGAAAGGTAGTAAAACAAATTTTAAAAATAAAATAAAGGGTAAAAAAGTATAATTTATCCTTTTTATATTATAATATTATTAGTTGATTATTTTGATTTATTCATCCGTGATATTTGCATGCATGTGAATAGTTAGGATTTGAATAGAGAAGAGAGAGGTGGTGAAATTAATTACGATGGAATACATGATGAGTGCTTTTGTTCGTCTTGGTCGATCACAGATACTAATTAAAAGTATGCATAGCTTGACAAAGTGCGAAATTATTATTCTGATGATCCCCTCAAGAAAAGCATGATGCTAAAGAACATTCCCCACGAAGACTTAGATTTAATTCAAAGAAAGGAATGGGGCAATTCAAGTAGCTGAGAAGATATATATTCATAGGTTTCCTCAGTTTCTTCTATTTGTGGGTCATTTAGATGGCTAAGCATGATGATGTTGTGATCGATATTAAGGCAATGGTGGAGGAGGCAGTGGCACCCGAAGCTGACCAGTGTTGCATCTATAGAGTTCCCTTTGATATTCGCAAACTCAACAATGAGGCATACACCCCAAGGGTTGTTTCTATAGGCCCTTTTCACCACAACCGCCATGACCACCTCCGAGACATGGAAAGACACAAACTCATCTTTTGCAAGGCTTTTCTTCAACGAACCAAAACAACCTTGGCCACCTGGATCCCCCACATACAAGAGTTGGAGCCCCACTTTCGTCAGTGTTATTCCCACGCCCTTGCGTTCTCTAAGGAGGAACTCGTCAAAATCATCTTTGTTGATTCCGGTTTTATATTTGAGCTCTTTCTCATATATTATCATCATGAATGGTCACATAATAATAACTTTGTTTTAAAACCTTGGATGCGCACTAAAATAGAAATAGATTTGTTGTTACTTGAGAATCAACTTCCTTTTTTTGTTCTGGACCGTCTCTTCAATCTCTCCTTCACCTCTGTTAGAGAGTAATATGGAAAATATTACTCTTCTTTTGTCTTTTATCATTCTGTTATGTCATTAGAATATTCTAGTTGCCACCTGCCCTATTTTGTTATAGTTTGTTATTTTGTAATCATCTCTTGACAGCTGTATCAACAGGAGGTAGCTTCTATAAAAGGCTCCTTTGTATTTCTTTACATGCAAGTTAATGAAATGAAAATATACCCTTCTCATTTAACCTTTTTCTCTGATCCTCTCTAACATGGTATCCAAAGCCTACAGCTTTACAGCAAAACCCTAATTCTTTTCTTTTCCTTCTATGGCAATCGTTAATCCCCACCCTTCCGCACCCCAATATTTTTCAACCGCCATCGCTGAGAAACTTGATGATTCAAATTATCTTCACTGGCGACAACAAATCGAACCTGTCCTCAAGTCGCATAAGCTTCAGCGGTTCGTCGTTAATCCTTTGATTCCCTCCCGCTATCTAAATGATGATGATCGTGCCATTGACAAGGTCAATCCTGAGTACGAAGCTTGGGAAGTTCAGGATCAGATGTTGTTGACCTGGCTTCAATCAACTTTGTCAAAATCAATTCTCTCTCGTGTCATTGGGTCCGTTCACTCCTATCAAGTCTGGGAAAAGATTCATGAATATTTTCACACGCAAACGAAGGCACGTGCCCGTCAACTCCGTACTGATCTTCGTACTACTTCTCTTGATGGTAAAACAATGCGCGAGTTCTTGTCTCAGATCAAGAACATTGCTGACGAACTTGCTGGCGTAGGACATCCTGTTCCTCTTGACGAATATGTTGATGCGATTTTAGAAGGTTTACCACAAGATTATGCCCCGGTGGTTTCTGTTATTGAAAGTAAGTTTGCTACTCCTCCAATTGCTGAGGTTGAAGCTCTTCTTCTTGCGCATGAATCTCGCAGCAATAGATTTCGCAAACAATCCTTCTCTCCTTCTATTAATTACACTCATGGGTATGCTCGAGGTAGTGTAAATCGTGGTGGTGGCAATAGTGGTCGTCGTGGAGGTAGTTCTGGCAGAGGTCGTGGAGGACGTTTTGCAAACTTTCAATGTCAGATTTGCTTAAAATATGGTCACACTGCCAATATTTGCTTTTATAGAGCTGATGCAAATTATCAACCTCATGACTCTTTGGTTCTATATGATCCTTCAACTCTGCAACCTGTGCAGTTCAATCCCTCTCCATCCATCACCAAAGCCTCTAATACTTGGGTGAATCCCACCTCCAAGCAACTCAGTCAAGACACTAATGTCACCTCAGTCACTCCCAGTGCTATGCTTGCTAATACTTCTTCTCAGGGTGCTGTCAACTCTACTTGGATCCCTGATTCCGGTGCTTCCTTCCATGTCACTGGTGAGCCTCAGAATGTCCATCAGCTTGGTCACTTTGATGGCCCAGACCAAATTTTCATTGGAAATGGTCAAGGTTTGCATATTAATGGTTCTGGTTTCTCCTCCTTCTTGTCTCCTATTAAATCCAATTTTTGCTTTAAATTGAACGATCTTCTTCATGTTCCCTCCATCACAAAAAATTTGTTAAGTGTCAGTAAATTTGCCAAAGACAATTCAGTGTACTTTGAATTTCACTCTCATTGTTGTTTTGTGAAATCTCAGGTGACCCATGAAATCTTACTTCAGGGAGTAGTTGGTTCTGATGGACTTTATTCCTTCTCAAATTTAGAGCTTCAAGGCCCCTCTATGTTGGTGTCCTCTTCAATGGCATCATCTGTTGATCCTGCTGTGTCTGCTTGTCCCAATGCAGTTTCTAATTCCACTAATGCAAATAAATTTTCTGATGTATCTTGGAAAGGAAACATAGACACATTGTTGACATTGGCATTACCCTACTTCATCATGCTTCCTTACCTCTTACTTTTTGGGATTATGCTTTTTCAACTGCAGTTTACCTAATTAATAGGTTGCCCACTGCCTCATTGAATTTTGACATTCCTTTCACTGTTTTGTTCAAACAAGCACCAGATTACAAATTTTTAAAGACCTTTGGATGTGCCTGCTTCCCTTTCTTAAGACCTTATACTACTCATAAACTTGATTTCAGATCCCAGGAATGTGTGTTTCTAGGGTATTCAAATTCTCACAAGGGCTATAAGTGTCTGTCTGCTTCAGGAAAAATTTACATTTCAAAGGATGTGATTTTTAATGAAACAAGGTTCCCTTACCTTGATCTTTTCCAGCACACTTCCACTCTTGTACCCTCCCCTTCTCAATACTTCACTCTCAATCCAGATCTGTCTCCTCCATGTTATCATACTACTACATCCTCTTTACCTTTTATTCCTGTTTCAGAGACTAGTAATCATAGTGGTCAAGATAATATTTTATCTGTGTCACAGTCCACGTCCACTCCTTCATCCCCTGTGTCTTCTGCTCCCACCAATACTGTTTCCAGAACTATTAATAATCATTCTATGCAAACCAGGTCCAAGTATGGGATTTTTAAATCGAAGATGCCTCCTTTATTTTTGGCTCATAGTGAACCGAAAAATGTCAAACAGCCTGATGTAGAATAGTGGTAAAATCTACATCGATTTTACTTACAACCGATGTAGATTTTTACGCAAATCTACATCGATTTTTCTGACAACCAATGTAGAAGTGTTTGTTTTTCTAAGTCGCTCTATTCTACATCAGTTTTATAACCGATGTAGATTACCTTCCAGAACCGATGTAGATAATACATCCTGTAGTAGTGGAATGGGTCGTTTCCAAACTGGAACGGGCCGTTCCAAGTGACAAAAAAGGCCTCAAATCTTAATTTGGAACGGGCCGTTCCAGCATTGCAATTATGTGTTAAATGCACCTCTAGAACGGGTCGTTCCGGTTTCAGAGCGGGCTGTTCCAATATGCAAAATTAACACAACATTTGGATCTAGGATGGGCCGTTTCGAATCCGGAACGGGCCGTTCTGGCCCCCATTCTAATTCCTATAAATAGACAGCTTGGGCATAGTTCTCAGGCCCCCAAAAATTTTGTCCAGGACTCTTTAGAGCTCGAAATTTATCTCTCTCTCTCCTATTGTATTTCTTGAGTATTGTGAGGAAATTGTAGTGTGAAAGGTTGCCACGAAGCACCTAGATTTTCCATATTTGAAGATCTAACAAAGCTTGCCACGAGGTATTTCATTTAATCTTCTTCTCTCTATTTTATTTCTTATTTTTAATATACATTGTTATAACAAAAGCAATCATGTAGACGTTTTAGGATCAATCGTGTAATTTAAATTTCAAGCATGTGAGTAGTAATTCATAAAGGGGATCTAATATTTAATTTATTTTTTCTTATCACATTAACTTCATCATAGGGTACCGATTGAGGGCACTGTAAGGGTGCTTAATACCTTTCCTACATGTAACCGACCCCTGAACCTAATTTTGGTTATCAAGGCCATTATTGAATTTTTTTAAAAACCTTTTCTTTTTCCAATGTTTTGAGTAAAACATTGGTGGTGACTCCAAGAACCTATTTTCAAAACCATTAATTAGGGATTAGTCTGGTGTCCAGGCATTTCCTAATTAATGAGATCTTTCAAAAGGATGTCTAAACTATAGGTCGCAAGATCAGAAATTTGCGGGTTGCGACATTGTGTACTGGCCAATCTATAAGGTTGGACTAACCAACCTAGGAGGTCAGACTAGATTTAATGCCAACCCACTTACTAGGTCGGACCCGCCAATCTCCAAGGTTGGACTTGCCAACCTCGGTACCGAATTCCATTTTTTTGCTAAATTTAACTACTATTTAGCGACCGAATTCAATTCTGTCGCTAATTTTAATTGATATTTAGCGACCGAATTAAATTCCGTCGCTAAAAAAATCAAAATTTATAATTTAGCGACCGAAATAGAGACCAAATTTAATTCTGTCGCTAAAAAAATCAAAATTTATAATTTAGCAATCGAAATAGCGATCAAATTTAATTCTGTCGCTAAAAAATCAAAAAATTCTTATTTAGCGACTGAAATAGCGACCGATTTTCTAACGAAGACTTATTTTGGTCGCTAAATCAGTCGCTATTTTGATTTTTCATAATCGGTCGCTAAATAGCGACTGATAAATTTTGGTCGCTAATTTCGATCGCTATTTTGCAATTTTCTAGTAGTGACTCTACTAATTTACAGGAGGTAGCTTCTATAAAAGGCTCCTTTATATTTCTTTACATGCAAGTTAATGAAATGAAAATATACCTTTTTCATTTAACCTTTTTCTCTGATCCTCTCTAACAACCTCTATATCCAGTAACGATAACATTCCTTCATTTCTTCGACTTACATTTCACTTTTTTAACCGTTTCAATATATCCGAGTTGAATTTTGATAAACATGTTAGTATAATGCACTTCACGGATCTTATAAGAACTTTTCACTTACAACATCATTCTAAAAAATTACCAGATAAGAATCCAGGTGAAGTGGTGACACATCTTCCTAGTACTACTGAATTGTCAGAAGCAGGAGTCAGGTTTAATGTAAACATCAATAAATTCTTTCCAGACTTTGAATTTTCAAGAGGGGTTCTTACAATTCCGCAGTTGATAGTGCAAGATAGTACTGAAATTTTGTTTCGTAATATGGTGGTTTTAGAGCAGTGTCACTATCCTCTCCAGTCCTACATTGCAAACTATGTTATTGTCATGGATTTCCTTGTAAACAAGAGCAGTGATGTGGATATACTGGTTCAAGAGAGAGTACTGCATAACTTGCTAGGGGACAGCGATTCTGTGGCTAAACTGTTTAATGGTCTTGGCAAAAATATTGTGCTATCAAATATGAGTTCCCATTATGGGCATCTCGCCCAAAAATTGAATGCTTTTCAAGGAAATCCTTGGAATAAATTGAAGTCCACTCTAAGACGTGATTATTGTAAAACTCCTTGGCAATCTGCAGTTTCCATTGCTGGAATTCTTCTCCTTGTTCTCTCTTTGCTTCAAACAGTTTGTTCTGTCGTGCAAGTTATACAACAATAGATTGATGTCTCCCCTCTCTACAACACCTGGTAAGTTCAATTCAATTATTGTTAAATGATGAATTTGTTATTATTATTTTCAATTTCTACTGTTTCCTTAGTTGTCTCAAAATGTGTCAACGGTTGAATTTCCTTATGTGTTGTAACAGATTAATTTAGTCTTCCACAAAATTACCCTGTCACGATGGGATGATGGGATCTACTCTTCAAGTCTGTGAGCTGCTCTTCAAGTCTATGGTGGAGAATATAATCTATATTCTATAATGTAACGTCCACAGTTTAGTTTAGGTAAATTTCATTCCTCTTACTTTGTTTCCCAAATAAACCAGTGTTGTATATTTGTAAGGTTCTCTGTCATTGACAATAACATTGAATAGATTTTCAATCTCTCATCACATCATGAGAACGCAAACCAGTAAAAATATTGGAATTCGTTTAGTTAAAATATGTATAACTAAATAATTAAACAAGTTAAAATTATGTTCCGTTATTAGTTTTAAAAGGAAAAAGTCATGCTCGTTTTTTAAGTTAAATTATCATATCTTAAAAGTGTAACATGACAATTCATGAATACTTCCTTTATATGTATTTCAGTTGTAATTTTATTTATTACAATTATGTTTTAAAAAATATTATTTTTTATTATCTTATAGTCACTTTTACTTAACTTTAATTTTTAAGAATCATAATTTAAATGGATCAAAATGACACTAAAAAGTAAAGTTCAAGGATTGAATTGAATATGAGTTATGTGACGAAATTTAACAAAATAAAAAAAGTCAATTTTTAATTTAGTCTAATTGACTTGATTATCACGTATCATTTATTTATGCATGTTATGTGTCATGAGCTTCACGTATCACTCATTCATACATATCACATGTAATCCACTCCATGTGTCATATGTGCATTGTCTGATGTCATGTTTGTAAATGACATGTCACGTAAATACAAGTGTTAATTTATATATTATTTAAAAAAATGTTGAATTTGAATTCTTTTAAGAACTACTATAATTACTACTTATGGTCAAAATTTTCATTTTCAAATTTAAATAATCTCTGCTAATACAAAACCATTTTTTTCAAGTTTACATTACCCTTTGCAAAGAGCAAGTTTGCAATAATAAAAAATAATCTAAGTTTAACATGAGCTAAATAAATCAAATTCAAAATAAAAATCTAACTTGTTTTAAAATATAGAATTAAAATTTGAATTATTTTTTTAATTTCAATAAAAGAAATAAAATTTTAATTCCATATTTTATAACAAGTTAGACTTAAAATATAAATTTAAACTTTTTTAAAATTGTTCTAATATAGAAAACGTACTACAAAAAATCTAGTCGTTATCCAAGTCCAAAGCATTAAAAAATGTGTGTTCTTGGGTGTCCTAACTCCCAAAACGAAGTTTTATACTCTTTTATCCAACATTTATGAATTCGTAATTTTTATAAGTTCTATCCTAAAGTCTCAGAATAATTAGCGTTATGTTATGATATTCAATCTTAATATTAATAGTGTTGATCCTTATATTAAATCTCCTAATTCGATAAATATTTAACAATTGTCGAATATGAACTGTTAATTTAAATATTGTACAACCGATAAGTCTCTTAAGATATTTATGAGACAATACACTTAACATTGAATCTTAAATATAAGGTGCTTAAATACTATAAACAACTTTTTCCTTTTACCGATTAGTAAAGATCTCTCATAATAATTATGACCAAAAATAAATCAGGCATCATTAATCGAGTAATCTCACTTTTTTGGTGTTGAAACCAATTTGTAAATGTTTGAGTTAACTACATCCATTTACGTCCTTATTATACATATAGGAAGAGGACAAAAGTGTAGTGGTAATAGATGAAGAAGGCTACCCCAACCAAAGCAATAAGGGATAGGAAAGTACAACTATGGAGGGAGATTCGATTTCCACCTCCCATCTTTTGTTTGCATCTTCTGTCCTTTTTTATATACTTTTATAAGAAATTATTATTTTCGAAAACTAATATCTAAAGTATACATTTTTAGAAAATTTGTGACTCAACGCTACTTTCAGACTTTAAAAAAGGTTTTCCTAATATAATTATGCTTTAATACACCACCACTGCAACATTAACACCCTCACTCGTAGCAAGATAGAGTAGATAGAAATAAGATAGTGAGAATTAAATAATAAAAAAAATGGGATATATTTTTTGTTTGGTTGGCTTCATATAAATGAAAAAATAATATATATTATAAAGAGATGAAAAATTAGATTGTTAATGAATATAATATCATTCCCCACTTATCTCATTATATACTCTCATATAATCATTAAATTATTATAAATATATTTTTTCCACAACTAATTATTAAAATTCATACATAAAGGTGTCAAGTTAGGTTAACCTGATATAACTTGACTTACATAAGTCATATGTTATTTTAAATTAGATTGGTCTAATTTATATTCTTTTTGTGCTTCGATTTTTTAACTCAATCTGTCTCATATCGACTATCAAGTTATTGGCCAAATTAAATATATATATATATATATATATACTTAGTTTTTATAATAAAAAAATTATAACATGATTAATTCATACTAAATATTGTTATAAAACATTTAGTCATTTTTTTACAATCATAAAATATTTTATCACAAATTAATTATAAAAGTTATTCTAGTAATATTTGCATATAAATTATGTAAATTCTGTTTGTCATTCTTTTCCTTAATGTTGAAATTCAAACAGTTTTTTTTTTTAAGCAAACACAAGAGTGAAAAATTATTATTATTATTATGTTTTATTATATATATTGTTTTATAATATTACAAATTAGTAGTAATTCAAATTATTTCACTTATTAATTTAACGAATCAACTTGATCTGAATCCATTTAGTCAGTTGAGTTTAAGAGGTTGGGTCAAAATGATATGATTCTATTTAAGTCATTCTTTAATAGTCCAATTTACATCAAAATAGGACCCAAATTGAAAGTTCTCATGAATATACTTTTCTGGTACAATTCATATAATAACTATATTTTTATTTTTAAATTATTAACGTCAAAATATTATGTAAAAAATATACGCAAATAACTAATAATTGACAAAATAATAAATTAAAAGAGATATTAAAATTTACCAACAATCATAGTGCATGATAATAATTAGTTAATTATCAAAGCATCACAGTAGATAGTCCATCACACGATAAACTGATTGGTGGCTAAAGTTTACAGCATCATTCGACACAAGAACAGTCAACAAGCACGTACGCTTTATCCTAATTTCTGCTACAATTCTATCCTATTTAATTATTCTATAAACAGGAAATTTGGGTTTTCTCCTTAATTTTGCCTTCATCCATCTTGTTCTTTTTTGTTCTCATGTTATCCTGATAGTGTTTGCTTCATGTTTTTATCATGTCAATCTTGTGCTTCCTTTTTCACATGCTTAACCTTCAAACAAGATTTTTCCTATAATATCACTTTTCATATATATAATTAATTTGCTAATTTACACTTTTAACCTCTCTATAATATTTATTTTATGATTTTGATTTTCTAATTTTTAATTCTGCAATTTTAATCTCTTTTTCTTATAAAACTTCTAAGTTTAGTTTCATCATTAAATGTTCATCTGTTGATTATTGAAATTATAATGTTAATTATAATTTGATATTTATTAAGTAGAGATTATCATAATTAATATTTAATAATATTTAGATTAAATTATATATTTCATTTTTATCTCATTAAAGTAATAAAAAATTGAAATAAGATAAAAAAAAATTTAAGATTAAAAAAGTAATTTAATCTAAATATTATAAGATATTAATTGTCAAAATATCTATTTAATGTCATGTCGTAATCAATATTAAAATTTTAATAATTAACATATGGTTTAGTAGTGGAATCAAAATTACAAATTTTATATTAGAGAACTAAATTTGTAAATTAAATAATATATGAGAATCAAAAGCACAATTTAGCATAATTAATAAATTCATATTTTAATTACTTGAAATGTGGTCTTGTTATTTTCAAAGGTAAATTAACCCTAAAATTAGTGATTTAAAATCTGGATCGAATCGGCCGGTCGGACTGGTTGGATTGGGAACTGGTGGTTCAGCCGGTCCGAATCTTAAGTTGGATCGGTTATGTAGTCGACTCGTTTCAAATTGGATTGAACCGGTCAATTTTCCGGTTCAACCGGTGAACCGGTGGGTCAAACCGGTTCAACCACTTTTTTTTTTTTTTTAAGGGACCATAAACCACAAAAATAATAATGAAAATTGAATTTCTTAATAGAAGAGTAAAGAGTCTTATTAAACATAACAATGACTATTTGTTCTAATGTATTTATTGTAATATATACAACTTAAATAACTTTTATAGTATATTATTAATTTTAAATTATATATTTAATAATATAATATCTATGTAGATATTACATATATTATTTTGTGATATCAATTGCAAGCATATTATATATGTACATATTATTTATATTTTTAATTTGTATTAATATACAGTTTAACATGTAATTTTTTATGTATTTTTTTACAAAATAAAAATAAAAATAATTTTAAATAAGATAGAAAAATTGAAATTTAAAATAAGATATGAATTTATTAAAATTTATAAGTATAAAATATATTTAATATGAATATTTTTTTAATATAAATAAATAAAAATCAAGTCATGCGGTTCAACTAGTGATCCACCGGTTCAACTAGTGATCTACCGGTTCAACCTCTGACCCACTGATTCAATACCTTAACCGGTTCGATGACCGGTCCGATTTTTAAAACTATGCCTAAAATAGTTAAAATTGACTTAATTGCAATTTTTTATCTCCAAAGTTATAGAATCTAGAGAATCTTATCTCCAATATTTTTTTTAATGCAAATCTTGCCTTCAATTTTTAAAAGCCCATGTCCTTAAAATGTTACAACTAAGATAATTTTTCGATGATTATTCTTTTAAATGATCACAATATTATTTTAATTGTGATAGTTTAAT